AATGTAGTAGCTTTTATGAGACCGGTTAAGGACCCCTCCCCAATGTTGCTATTCTATACTGACAACACTAAGAATTTCCTGGTATGCATCTCACTTGAATAACTAATTTACTTGTATATAAATGAGACAGATCTCTAACTTCCTTCCTTCAGCTTAGACCTCTTGCAGCACCAGTAGTGATTCTCTGAAGTATTGCCCTTTCTGACAAAAACAAATAAAAAAAGCAAAAGTCCAAAGGGCAGCTACATTAACAAATAACTCATGTGCCTCTATCATATAGAATTGCAGAGCCTGAGACCAACAAGCAAATTTAACCAGGCGAGGAAGTGTCCCACAGAAGTACCACTTTTCACATTATGTCAGATTTGTCAGTTGTCAAAAAGTAGGAAAAAAAAAATCAGTTGTTTGCTTCTATTTCTCTAACTTGACTTCTCAGCATGACAATGAAGCATCCAAACTGGATTCTTCCTCCTAACTAGAACTCCACCTCATAACCTACCCAATAGGACAAAGCTCAGCCAGGTCTTGCTCCTTCTGCCTATATAACAGGCTTCACCAAAAGTAGGAAGGTTGTTATCAAGACAGTAACAACAGCGTAGTATCAGATGAATACTACACTGTGGTTCCAAACTATGAAGGAAAAACGAGTGAGACTTGACGAGAACAAAAAGAATGGGTTATTAAATTAAAAATGAAAAAAAAATCCTAAGAACCTTTTCCTTTGAGTTCTCTTTATCTGCTCCTCCAGGTGCCCTCAACTATTGCATATTACTGAACTCCTACATGCACAGCTTTTGTCTTCTACAGTCTCTGGGGCAGGAATTTGCTCTGCCATAAATCTAAGAACCACCAAATATCACTTTGTGATGCTACATAAAAATATGGATTTAATATTAAAGAACTTTTGAGAGAAATTATAATCCAGCACACTGTTTTGTGCAAAAATAAAATAACTTTATATGTTATATTCTATTATCATAGCTTCAATTACACTATCCAAGAAGAAACACTGCTGGAGAAATAAAATCAGTTTATCTTTTAGAAGGAATAAGGTTACATTTTTAGCATTCATACTTTAATGCAAGATAGTGTTTCCTATTGTTTTACCTGTCTTGAAATAAGAACCAAAACCCCCGCAATTTTACTTCATCTTACGAAAGTAAAAACCAAAACAAAAGTACTGCTTCCTAGAAAGTTAAGGGACACATAACTTAAGTTTTCTGGATTCTCCTTTCATATAGAAAACCCTTTTAAATGTGATGGTGGATCTTTCAAGTGACTACTCCTGAAGAAGCATTTCTCAATAAATAGATATGAAAATATTGGACTTACAACCAGAATATGATGGATAATAACTTATCTGTAGCTTGAAAATTACACATTTTAATACCCTTGCCAAACATATAAAGTATACTGCTAAACAAGTTAGCAATGCATTAACATGTACCAAGGTCAGTATGAAAATAATGTGAAAAACAAAAGAAATTCTCTGGATTATTTCCTCCCCTGACTGTCTAATTCTTGTTACTCAATTCAATCAGAAGAAGGCTGACATAATCACACTGTCATAGTGATTCAACTCATACAAAACAGTCCAGGGAGTTTTTAATAATTAGATGCTCAAGTCTATTATTCCAAGAATGCTGGATAAATGTAATATTCATTATTTTCCTGAAAGATAAGAAAGACTCTTAGATTTTTCTTCTCATTACTACAGGTTCATCAATCACCTGCTTACATGAAGGAAACAAACCTGCAACAGCAGCTTTATTCTCCTCACCTCTGGGAAATGTATAAGAGAATCCCACAGGGAAGCAGAGATGCTTCGCCAAACTTTGAATCTCGATGCCATTAGTCATTTACGCATCATCACAAGGTGACTGTGTAATGTTAAGGGCATAACTACTCACAATTTATTTGACAAAACAAAGAAAAGTTTTTAAAAGCATTTCAAAAAATATTTGAAATGCTAAAAATACATGCAGAGACAGATGGAGAAAGACATACTGAAATATTCACACAGACCTGCCTTTTTTTTCCCTCCTCTTGCTCAAAAGCTGGTGTTTCCTAAAAATTTGAGCATCTTGTGTATATGCTGGGTAACAAAAGGTTCCCACGATATCCTTTTCTAGCCTTTGAGTCCAGAATTAATGGAAATAAATTATGTGGAAACTCAAGCAAAAAAAAAAAGTAATCTGACTCAAAAATAATTTCATTGTTTATCAAACTTGTCTTATGAAAACAATCTGACTATTTTAGGATTTAAATTTTTTAGTTGCAACTTACTTATATATCAGCGTGATTTGCTATGTCTTCTCAATAAATTAAGAAAACAAAATCTGTGTCTATTTGAATTAATAACAAGGTTGTCAAGAGGGATAGAGATGTGCCATGGCTGATATTTTATTGCATTAATCTGTGAAAGAATGAAGTATTCAATCATTAGAATATGAATTTAGCCATCAACTGTTTTTGAGAAATTGTTTAAAAAGTTAAAGTTAATTAAAATTATAAATTAAAACAACTTCTTGTCAGCTCTAAAATATTTTTGGGTTGTCCATTATTATTACTCTTTAAATTAGTTCCATTACAGTTGATACTGTCGGGATGAAATTAATGGTGTCCTTCAACCTTGCAAGATTTAGCACAGATCTCCAATTCTGAATCTGTATTTAGACAAAACAAATAAGGGTCTAAACTTCAGCAAGAAAGACCTAGTATTAAAGGGTAGTGAAACACTAGAGCAAGTAGAAAAGAGTATGTAAGAAAAACCTCCCCATGAGGAGGTTTTTAAGAACAAATTAGGCAAATCCCTGGCAAGAATGACATTTACAGTCAAATCTACCATGCAAGGAGAATCACTGATTAAAAAACTTCACTTCAAACTTATTTTTTCTTGATTCCATGATAAACTGCAAAGTCAAATAACAAACCAATCCAAAAATAAGTCTCCCAAAACTCCAGATCAATTTGTTAACTGTTGAAAAAGTGGTTGAAGTCCAAAACCTACTCTTGCTGAACACTGAAATTGGGATCAGCTAAAAGAGCTCTCCATCCAACAGTCAATACTGTCACTACACAACATCAGAATTCTACTTACTGCTATCATGGTTGAGCACATTTGTTTTGAAATACTAAGGGAAAAGATTAAATCTAGAAAATGAACCATTATTCAATATTCTATCCACTGTAAGACCAGGCCAAGTATTTATACTACTTTGAAAAGAGACAACATAATGCAATCCTAAATTCTGTTCTGCTTAATTGCTATGCAATATATCAACATCTAATATGGACCACATATAACCTGATTTACACACAGATTTTGAACAGCAGCTGAGTAAATGTGCCACAAAAGTTCCATGTTAATACCTTAATAAAGAGGTTGCAGCAGTGTTCAGACATCTGTATTCTAGTGTTTCATTTAAAAGCAACATAAGTCCCTGTATAAAACTGAATGTTATAGGTCCATTTACCTACGAAGTATTACAAGACTTCATTTAGTTTTATTAGCAAAATACAGAAGGGGAAACATCCCTCTAATATCTAAAAGGAAAGAACACCAAATAATAAATGGAGATTATATGGCATGGAGGGAGAAAAATGGTGCTTCGGGATCAGAATAAGCAGCTTGAATATGACATGCTGGGAAACAAACCCAGTGAACTGCCCAAAGACAGTTGTACAACTAAACAAATGTAAGCATCGCCTAGAAGTAGTTTTTGGACTCAGAACATGAATCCCATTCAACAGAGAAAAGAGTAGCCTAGAAGCTGTACATTAGAACAGCTTTCCATCCATAATCCAAAAGGTATCAAGATCTACTCTTACGTCACTCTGATAAAGTTACTTCTTTGTCACTCAAAATATGGTCTTTAAGCCACTTCACATCAAGGAAAAACATTCTTGATGCACGACCAGTCACGCTGTATTTTGCTTCAGTCTCTTAAGCTACTTTGATAGCTTTACTTGTATCCACATTCTGAATGGAGCTCAGAACAAAGTGCAGACCTAATTTCCAACTGAAAATTCACCCCTGTGGGTCCTGTTTGCAGAGGCAAGCAGCATTTGCCTTTCCATATATGCAGGTTATATCGGAGATTTTCCTTACATTTAAGGCAGTCTCCAGGCTGAAACAGATACAGTACTTTAATAACCGCTGCTTATCAGGTGTTTTACTTCAGCTGCCTTACCTGTGTATTTTCTTTGCTGTAGAATGCCCCTAGCAGCAAATGACAGTGATACACCATTTTAGACAAACATACATCCACAGGAACATGGCAACTGAAAAAACCAAATGAATTTGTCTTGTCTAAGCTTAGAACTCTTTTTTTTTTTAAAGACAGACAGAATCAATTTATTCTGGCAATGGCATTCAGAAAACCATGTATTTAACTGAGGCCAACTTAGAGCTCACTTTACAGATTCTGTGCTTCTTCTCTTGTATTCTTTGACAACCTTAAATATTGGTTCTAAAGTTACCTGGTCACAGTTTCTCATCAGAAAGCCTCTCAACACTAAAGAATTGGTATCTCCCTCCACCCACACCAATGCTGAATGTCCGTTCTAACGGAGAGAGGTAAATTTGAAATGTTGTTCAGTCTTTATCCAATTTCTCAGAATATCAAGAGTAAGACTTAGTAAAACAGCTTTATCTATCATTTATCCTTAAAAATAACAAGACTGTAAGCAGGCATAATATGAATATACATGTGCCACTTGAGTGGGAGGAGCTAAAGACTTTGTCCTCAGTTAGACTTTATGGAACTTCAGCAAGATCCGTGGCACTGTATGGCTATGACCAAATGTTGAATCTAGTCGTGCAACACTTAACAAGAGAGGTGAACTCATAGGGATGCACATCTTCATTTTGCTTATGTTGCAAAACAGTGACACCCGCTGGCAGCAACAGTTTAAATACTTAATTGTTGCAGTCTGAGTCTACTTGATAAAGAGTTCCTTGAGAAAAATTTATCACAGTAACAACCATAGAAACTTACCTGTTGAGTCAGCACTACTGCCTGAGTTTTCAGAAATGGCACTACTAATAGCATCTGGAGTAGCTGCAACATAACCCTCTGGAGGAAGATCCACTTTGTAAATTCTTCTTGGAGACATAATTGCATCATCACTACCTACAAAACAGAAAAAAACCCAAATATCTGCCTCAATATTGGTCTCACTACAGATTTTCTCAAATGTTTTTCCAACCATGGCAATAAGTTTTCTCGAAAATCCTTACAGAGGGTCAGGTGTGGAACACTGAAATTATCCTACAACCAACAAAACTGCACCAAATTTTGTAGCAGCTACAAATAAGCAATTACTCCATGGGTTAGTTCTTTCCACCAGAAACATTTTTTTTTCCTTTGTATGAGGCAAATCTTCTGCTCTAACTTCAGAAGACACTTACAGTGATATTTTAAGAGAGATTCTAAACATTTTTCCCCATTCGGCATGAGCACACATTATTTCCTTAAGACTTGTTTAACAAAAGATGGATGGATGGAGAGATACAAGCTGATTATGCAGTGATAGAAGCAACAGAAAAAGAATCACAGAACTGTGGTTTGCCCATTTGTAGACCTTTTAAACATAGCCTATCCTGTTCTAAAGGATGCAAAGACAAAGGGAGTTTGAAAGCCACACTTGACTAAGCCTCAGCAGGGCCTGCTCATCCCTGCTGTGCTTCTTTCTGAAAGGGGGAGGAAGGGGAAGAGCCAAGGGTCAGCTTTCCAACTATTTTATTGTATAGGAAACTACTTGTGGTGATGGCAGCAGTCTCGTTTTGTAGGATTCCTTTCCTGTTTAAAAGGTATTTAAAAATACATGCAAGAGCGTCAGTATAAACCTCTCCTGTGTTCACCAGATAAGTAGCTCTGTAGGAGTGACAGAGACACATCTCTGCTCCAGTTAAACGAAAAGAGTCCAAATACCAGACTGTATTTCTTTTGCTCAGCAGTGACAACAGCAGAGACCAACCACAGGGAGAAAAAAAGCCCTTCCAGAAGGCCAGAATGTCAGGGTATTTCCAGATGCTGCAATGTAGTTTTAGATGGCTCAGTGTTGTTTTGTTTTTCTTTTTGGTTTATTGGGGCTTTTTGGTTGTTGTTGTTTTGTTGGGCTTTTTAACACTCAGCTCCATAAGTCAGCACAGACAGAGCACCAGCCTTCCCTTCTTGGGGGCAATTTGTCCCTTTAAAATGCAGAATCAGAGAATATACTGAGTTGGAAGGGATTCACAAGGATCATTGAACTTAACTCTTAATCCTGCACAGGATCATCCCCAAGAGTCACACCACGTGCCTGAAAGTATCATTCAAATGCTTCTTGAATTCTGGCAGGTTTGGTGCTGCAACCCCTCTCCTGGGAAGCCTGTTCCAGACAGAACTGTTAAAATAATGTAAAATAAAAATATCTTTGTCAAGTGGACACAATCAACCTCCTTACACCACGAATTTGCTAGAAGATCCCAGGTGATCCAAGTCTATCACTGAGGTGCAGCTATGGTTGGACTAATTCTCAAACATTTAAAACATAGTTGTGTCTGACAGATTCCTAACAAGAATTAGTTCTAGGTTTCAAATATGCAATTTAACTACACATACTGTATGCAAATATGTAATTTAACTATACACTGACATTTCTCAGATACCCTACTTCAAAGAATTCAGCATGACTGATCATCTTAGATATCTATGACAAACTACATTCCTGAACATTCAAGGCACTTCTGAAAAGCTATACCACAGTTGTTTTCATCGCTAGGAGGTAATAAATTTGTTTTGAAAACACATTAGAAGTTTTTTTTTTCTTGACCAAGCCAGAAAATTTCCAACTCATATTAATGATACTTACTTTAAAGGATAATAAAGGGAAAGGAATAAATAGTACAGAAAGATGAAGAACAATTTTGCAATTTGAAGAAAAATCCACTGAAAATTAACATGGAATAATTCTGCAATCCTTTCCATAGGGATGATGCCAAATGGCTGAACTGGCAGCACTTGCACTGATTTTCCCCCCACCACCACCCAGGTTGATTAATGATGAAGTGCTAATTAGTGACAGTTTTAAATTACAAGGATGTATAAATGTTTGAGTTATTTCCTTCTGAATGATTTCAAGTTTCCTCATGCTCTTTTCTACAACATTCCCCATACAAAGAGACCCTTTGCATGTAATTAGTGACAGTTTTAAATTACAAGGATGTATAAATGTTTGAGTTATTTCCTTCTGAATGATTTCAAGTTTCCTCATGCTCTTTTCTACAACATTCCCCATACAAAGAGACCCTTTGCATGTAACTCAACCTTGTGCACAGAGCAGGGATGTGAATCTACATCATGCCCTTCCCAACATTACAATTGCAAGCATGTCAGTTGCTTGGCCAGCTATGTTATCTCTTGCTACCCTACTACAAACAAGTAGCAGACTGCCCGAACATAAAGCATGCTTAGGCACACCTCAGACACAGACATGGCCAGAACACATGTTCATATAATCTTGGTCCTTTTGTGGCAAATTTACTCAGCTGCTGGTTAAAATCTTAAAATCCACTAAAAAAAAATCTTGGTCCTTTGCTTGCTGTAAGACTGGACAGAGACTGAATCACTTCTAGTTTCTGTGGTGGGTTGACCCTGGCTAGCAGCCAAACACCCACGAGATGCTCACTCACTCCCCCCTCAGCAGGATGAAGTGGGAAGAAGAGGACTAAGAGCTCATGAGTCAACAGCAGGGAGATCACTTACCAACTATAACAACCTTTCCTTGCTGGCTTATATTCACTCTCAACTTCACCTACTCCCTACTGCTGCAGTCCCTTCAGTGAGACAACAAGCAGTGCAAGGTGGTGGTGGAGGCTGTCTACAGTCAGTGTGCAACAGTTTCTCTCTGCTGCTCCTTCCTTTTCCCCCACAGGTGTTCTCTGTGGGCTGCAGTCCTTCAGGAACATTTCAACAACAGAGCACCTCCTCCTCTGACCCTAGGGTTCCCACTGTTGTCACTCCTTTTAGTTCCCTCCTCTCTCAGGAGCTCTCTTAGTCCTCTCCTTTCTCAGAGAAGTTTCCCCGAGGCACCCCCCTCGGCTGTGGGCTCAGCCGTGCCCTGCAGCGGGTGGGTTGGAGCCGGCTGGAACCGGCTGCATGGGGCAGCCCCGGCCTCCCCTCACAGAGCCACCCTGCCTGGACACCGGCACCCTGTACAGCTTCACAATCAGACAGAAATTTTGTCTTGCCCATGAAATGCTTCCCTGCAACTCAGAAAGCTTTGGTAACCCACTGCTAAGTTCCCACAGGGCAGAACTCATACTGCAATTAGAGGACCCAAGTCCATCTAGAACATCCTACAGCCCCCACAGACAGCTGACAAGTTAGCCCAATCTTACCAAGACTATCTTTTTCACAAAATTATCCCTTGGAAACACCTGGCTATCACTTCTCCAAATAGAATGAAAGAGTTTATCCTCAAAAATAGGTCTTTACAAAAAAGCACAGAAAGTGAGGGATTGATGTTGGTTCAAATACAAGGTCTGATTAGTTAAATGCCATACCTTCTACAAAAGTCATTACTGTCAGTAGGCATTTTCTATGTGGTGTTACAGTAGACATAATCTGGACAAAAATAAGGCTTGAAAGAGGTCTGTTATCTCCTTTAAAAAGCTTGCATAACGTATGATTTTACTTATTAGGAAAGCTCGAGTATGACCATGTTATAGCTATTCCTCATTTGTATGTATACAAATGAGACTACAACCTGAAAATTCTGACAATCCCCAATGCACATAAACACCCCCTTGTTATCTGTACACAATCACTTTCCCCTTCACTGACTAGCAAGAGAAGTATCTAAAGACAATGCACATACAAATCCTGGGCAAGAGTTGTCTCCTTCAAAAAGTCTTCATAAACTGAAGTGCACCAAAGGTGATATCAGTGACTAAATGTAGAATATACACACCTCGAGGGTCCTCCTGAGCTGTGGTACTGGAAAATAGGTACTTTTACAGTTGATCAACATGAAGACATCAAATTGTCCTTCAATAGCGTGAACAAATCTGGTGATCCGAAATACTCACCCATTCCCCAATGTATACTCATTTTTCTTCAGATGACATCCAAGTTCCTGACCACTAAGCTATAGTTACTTTAGTCTGCCATGATAAGGTACATCAGAGTAACTTCAGGGACATGAGGTGTTATATTATGTGCAAACAACCTCTGTTCACAGGTTGACTTTCACAGGTTTTTCAGTCTCAAGTCAATACACACTACAGTGCTTTCCACAACAGAAGCTTTTAGCTCAAGTAGACCTTTGTGTAATTGGAAAGTAAAATCCTTTTTCTTGGAGTGCTGCATAATTCCTGCTATTTGACCTCAGTTTTCAGCAGAAACCTCTCCCTCAATACCAGAGAAGCACATTCGGTAGAGAACAAAAACAAAAAAGTGATACTGATAATAAACAACCTAGCAAAGAACAGGCAGTCATTTACTGCTGGTCATTTGTTTCACTCAAATGATAACCATCACACAGAAATGGAAATGTTGTGCTATTTTGCCGGGTGACAGGAGTAGCTGATGAAGTATTTCTGTAGAAATTCACTACTGCAGGTAGGAACTTGTTTCTCACAAAATTACGGAACTCCCTTTATGGAGAGCTACTACAGTTTACCATTACAGTCTGATTCCTTTAGCTTGTTCTAAGACCTGATTATTTGTACTTTATCAGAATAAACTAGGGGAGTCACTCTAGCCAGTTTCTGGCTGAAGATGATATACTCCTTCCAACGATTCTTCATCTCTTTTTTTTAATTTATGAAAAAGAAGTTTTCTGAATGTCTTTTGAATATCTAATTACCTCAAGTTACATTGTTTGCTACAGTCACATATTTTATTGGCACCAATACATGTAACAGAATACTAAAAAAGCTTTTTCTTTTGCAAAATTCTTTACAATTCTAAAGATGCTTGCTATTTTTTTCTGAAGGATGAACTTCCCTGTTTGCCAAGTAAACCGTCAAAGTGTATAGTTTTATTCCAAAGTGCTCGATAACATACATTCAAACAATAAACTGATGAAAGAATAAAGTCTTAAAATAAATAGATACATGTTGTCCTCTGGCTCAAAAAAATCCTCA